TGCCGAGAATGCTGCCGGCTTGGGAACACCCAGTTCCCCAACAACGTATTACAAAGCTTTGGATCCCGTCTTCAAACCAGGCCCGCCAAACAATCCCAAAGTGGTGGACACCTCAAGATCGACCGTTTCCCTGACCTGGGGTAAACCCATCTATGACGGTGGCTGTGAGATTCAGGCGTACATTGTGGAGGCGTGCAACAGTGCGTCAGATGAGTGGTTCATGTGCACTCCTTCCTCTGGAATCGCAGAAACGTGGTTTACGGTGACAAAGCTCCTGGAGAAGCACGAGTACCAGTTCAGAGTGTGTGCCATCAACAAAATCGGTGTCGGTGAGCAGGCGGATTTTCCGGGAAAAATCATTCTGGAAGAGAAGCTTGAAGCGCCTGACCTGGACCTGGACGCCGACATGAGAAAGATGATCAACATTAGAGCCGCAAGCACACTTAGGCTCTTTGTTCCTATAAGAGGTCGTCCAGCCCCGGAGGTGAGATGGGGCAAGGCTGACGGGGAGCTGAAGGAGACAGCCCAAATTGACAACACAGATAGCTATGCGTCACTTGTGATTGAGAACGTGGACAGATTTGACACAGGCAAATACACGCTGACTGCCGAGAACGCCAGCGGAATAAAGTCTGCCTTCATCAGCGTCAGAGTCCTGGACACCCCCAGCCCCCCAAATAACCTCCTGGTGAAGGAGATTACCAAGAATTCTGTCACCCTGACATGGGAGCCTCCGCTCCTCGATGGCGGCTCAAAGATTAAGCAGTACATTGTGGAAAAGCGGGAGAGCACTCGGAAGGTTTACTCTCCAATCACCATCTGCAATAAGATGACATGGAAAGTGGAATCTCTCCCAGAGGGAGGACTATTCTTCTTTAGAGTGATGGCTGAGAACGAGTATGGTGTCGGTCTGCCCGCGAAAACCTTCGAACCAATTAAGATATCTGAGAAGCCGCAGCCCCCTGGTAAAGTCAGCGTTGTTGATGCCACACACAGTACTGTCACCTTGACGTGGGAGAAGCCCATACATGATGGCGGCAGCAGGATAACCCACTATGAAGTCGAACTGGCTCCAAAGGACACCGACTCTTGGTCTGTTTGTACCAGTGGGAAGGCAACCGAGGCCCTGGTGAGTAATCTGCTCAAGGGAGAAGAGTATCAGTTCAGAGTGGTCGCTGTCAATGACAAGGGCAGGAGCGACCCCAGGCAACTGGCTCATTCAGTTGTCGCCAAGGACCTTGTGATTGAGCCTTCCGTCAGACCGAAAACCAGTTGCTACAGTGTTCAAGTGGGACACGACCTCAAGATTGAAGTGCCAGTTGCAGGCCATCCAAAGCCGACCATCTCTTGGTCCAAGGATGGAGTCCTCCTCAAGCAGACCACCAGAGTAAACGTCACAGATTCAGCCCATCAGACCACACTTGCAATTAAAGACGCCACCAGAGAGGACGGAGGCATGTACAGCATTACCGTTGCCAATGATCTGCAATCCAAGGAAGCCACTGTTGAGGTTATCACTTTAGATAAGCCCGGACCACCTTCAGGACCTGTCAAATTAGAGGATATCAGTGCAGAGAGCGTCACACTGACATGGGAACCTCCCACGTACACAGGCGGCTGCCAAATATCAAACTACGTTGTCGAGAAACGAGATACCACCACCACTAACTGGCTCGTGGTGTCTGCCACTGTGGCAAGAACAACACTCAAAGTGGGCAATCTGAAGACCGGCGCTGAGTATCAATTCCGAATCTATGCTGAGAACAGATATGGCAAGAGTTATGCCATTGATTCTGACCCGGTTGTGGCACAGTATCCATTCCAGGAGCCTGGCCCACCGGGTACGCCCTTTGTATCTTCATACGCTAAAGACTACATGGTAGTGGAGTGGCACAAACCTCCGTCTGACGGAGGCAGCGCTATCTTGGGATATCATCTTGAAAGGAAAGAGAAGAACAGCATACTTTGGACCAAGATTAACAAAACTCTCATCCAAGACTGCAGGTTCAAATCCACTCCTCTGGAGGAAGGCATTGAGTATGAATACAGAGTCTATGCTGAGAACATTGTCGGCATTGGAAAGTCCAGTAAAGTGTCAGAGGTCTATGTGGCCCGCGATCCGTGTGATCCTCCTGGATGTCCAGTTGCACTGATAGTGACCAGACACTCGGTGAAGCTCAGGTGGGCGGCGCCGCAGTACAACGGTGGAAGTCTAATTACTGGCTATGTCGTGGAGAAACGTGATCTTCCTGAAGGAAAGTGGATGAAGGCCAGCTTTGCAAATGTCACGGACCTTGAATTCACAGTGACGGGCTTGAAAGAAAACAGCAAATATGACTTTAGAGTCATTGCAAGAAATGCAGCAGGTGCGGTCAGCAAGCCTTCTGAGAGCAGTGGATCCATCACAGCCAAAGACGAAGTTGATCCGCCCAAGTGTGAGACAGACGCCATGTACAATCAAACCCTTGTCATCAATGCTGGGGACACATTCAGTTTGGAGGCCAAAGTGGACGGGAAGCCCATTCCGACGGCTCAGTGGTTTAAGGGCGATGTTGAAGTGGAAAACTCGGCCAGAGCGGAGATTAAAAATACAGACTTTAAGGCCCTTCTTGTTGTGAAGGACGCTATCAGAGTGGACGGCGGGCAATACACACTGGTACTCACCAATGTGGCAGGCAGCAAGACTCTTCCATTCAGTGTAAAGGTCCTCGACAGACCAGGTCCATCAGAGGGACCTCTTACTGTGAGCAATATCACTGAGGAGAAGTGCTCCCTGTCATGGCTTCCACCAAAGCACGATGGAGGCAGCGGAATTTCTCACTACATCATTCAGAAGCGAGAGACAAGCCGCCTGGCGTGGACCGTGGTCTCCAGTGACTGTGCCGCCACCATGTTCAAAGTCACCAAACTCTTGAAGGGAAACGAATACATCTTCAGGGTCATGGCATGCAACAAATACGGCGAGGGTGAGCCTCTGGAGTCGGCTCCAGTTATCATGAGGAATCCATTTGTCCCACCTGGCACACCTCGGGAGATTGAGATTACCAACATTACCAGGGACTCCATGACTGTCTGCTGGAACCGTCCTGAGACCAACGGAGGCAGTGAAATTGTTGGCTACATTGTGGAAAAGAGAGACCGGGCTGGCATAAGGTGGACCAAGTGCAACAAGCGCAGGGTAACAGACTTGCGTTTCCGAGTGACGGGCCTAACCGAGGACCACGAATACGAATTCAGGGTTTCTGCTGAGAATGCAGCTGGCGTGGGTCAGCCGAGCCCCGCCACACCTTACCTGAAAGCCTGTGACCCCACATTTGAGCCTGGCAGCCCCACCAACGTCCATGTGACAGACACCACAAAGGACTCCATAAGCCTGGCATGGCACAGGCCCATATATGATGGTGGCTGTGAGATTCAAGGCTACGCTGTTGAAATCACGAAGGCTGATGAGGAGGAGTGGACAATTTGCACACCACCTTCCGGAGTGAATGTCACCAAGTTCACCATCACCAAGCTGACTGAGTATCAGGAATACAAAGTGCGCGTGTGTGCCATCAACAAGGTGGGAATTGGGGAGCCAACCGAAGTCCAGGGCAGAGTTCGGCCTGTGGATAAAATGAATGCTCCAGAGATGATTCTGGATGCTGAACTCCGAAAGGGCATTGTTGTCCGTGCGGGAGCCCCGATGAGAATTGGCATTCCGTTTAAGGGTCGTCCTACACCTGACATTAGCTGGACCAAGGAGGACAGTGACCTGCCCAGTAAAGTTGAACTTGAGACGGGAGAAGACTACACACAGCTCTCCATCAACATCTGTGACAGAAATGATGCCGGAAAATACATCCTTAATCTGCAGAACAGCGCTGGCACCAAGTCTGCATTTGTGTCTGTCAAAGTTCTGGACACTCCAGGAGCCCCCACCAACCTCACCGTCAAAGATATTAAACGGGAGAGTGTCACCCTGAGTTGGGAGCCTCCTCTTATTGACGGCGGCGCAAGAATAAAGAATTACCTGGTTGAAAAGCGCGAGTCCAACAGGAAGGTTTACGCTAATGTGGACAACAAGTGCACAAAGACCAGCTACCGGGTTACCGGCCTCACTGAGGGAGCAATCTACTACTTTCGGGTCCTTGCCGAAAATGAGTTTGGAGTAGGACTACCAATTGAGACAACAGACTCGGTTAAGACCTCTGAGCCTCCTCTGTCAGTTGGTAAAGTCACTTTGACCGAAGTCACTAAAACAACCGCCTCGCTGTCATGGGAAAAACCAGTCCACGACGGAGGAAGCAGGATTATCGGTTACTACATCGAAATGCAAACCATGGACTCCGAGGAATGGGTGGTGGCTGCCACAACCAAGACCTGTGAAGGCATGGTCACGGGCCTAAGTCCTGGACATGAATATCTTTTCAGAGTATCTGCCTTCAATGACAAGGGTAAGAGTGACCCAAGGCCTCTCTCTGCGCCAGTCATTGCCAAGGATTTGACCACGTTGCCCGGATTCAAGATGAGATTCAACACTTATAGTTTGCAAAGCGGAGAAGATTTGAAGATTGAAATTCCTGTGACTGGACGTCCGGTCCCTAAAGTGGAGTGGAAGAAAGAAGGACAGGCTCTTAAAGAGACGACCAGGCTAAACGTATCTGGCACGCCTACATCTACAAAGCTTTGCATCAAGGATGCAAAGCGGGAGGATTCCGGCAAATATACCGTCACAGCCACCAGCAATGTCGGAACTGCAACCGAAGAGATTACTGTTGTCATTCTTGATAAACCGGGCCCGCCCACTGGTCCTGTGAAGATTGACGAAGTGAGCTCCAATTATGTAACACTCTCCTGGGAACCACCAACGTATACTGGCGGCTGTCAGATTAACAACTACATTGTGGAGAAGAGAGACACCACCACAACGGCTTGGCAGATTGTGTCTGCGACCATCGCCCGAACAACCATCAAGGTCAGCAACTTGAAGACTGGCGTGGAATATCAGTTCAGAGTGTCTGCTGAGAACAGGTATGGAAAGAGTTCTGCCATTGTCTCCCCACAAGTGATGGCTCAGTATCCATTCAGCGTGCCTGATGCACCAGTGGTCCCCGTTGTAACCGCTGCGACCAAGGACAGCATGGTCGTTGAATGGAAGCCACCCGCAAACAATGGTGGGAGTCCCATTCTTGGCTATCATCTGGAAAGGAAGGAGAAAAACAGCCTCCTCTGGACTCAACTCAACAAGCTGCTCATCCCCGATGCACGTTTCAAGACTGCAGATCTGGAGGAGGGCATTGAATACGAATTCAGGGTTTATGCCGAAAACATTGCAGGACTTAGTCCGGTCAGCAAGGTTTCAGATAGCGCAGTGGCCCGTGACCCCATCGACCCACCGGGTGCTCCCGAGGCCATTGAAATAACACGGAACCACGTAACACTTAAGTGGACCACCCCGCCGTATGACGGAGGCAGCGTGATTACCGGCTACCTGATTGAAAGTAGGAAACACCCTGATACTCGCTGGATGAAGGCCAGTTTTACCAATATAATTGACACCCAGTTCACTCTCACTGGCCTGACTGAGGACTGCATTTATGAGTTCAGAGTTGTTGCCAAGAACGCAGCTGGTCTGTCCAGCCGTCCCTCTCCGAGCACAGGGGAAATAACTGCCAAAGATGAAATTGAGGCCCCCGACGCAACCATGGATTCCAAATTCAAGGATCTAACAGTCGTTCGTGCTGGTGAGACTTTTGTCATTGATGCAGACTACACCGGCAAGCCTCTGCCTGAGGTCATCTGGTTGAAGGATGGAAAGGAGATTGACAACACTATGCCAAGAATGGAGATCAAGACCACACTCACACGCACCGTCTTGACCGTGAAGGACTGCATCCGAACAGATGGCGCACACTTTGCTCTCAAACTTGTGAATGTCGGAGGAGTCAAGATGATCCCAGTTAACGTCAAGGTACTGGATAGACCCGGCCCACCAGATGGCCCGCTAGAGGTCAAAGGTGTCACGACTGAAAAGTGCTACCTGCATTGGAACCATCCCTCGCAGGACGGCGGCGCCAGCATTTCACACTACATCGTTGAGAAGAGAGAAACCAGCCGTTTGTCGTGGACTATGGTGGAGCCCAAGATTCAAGCCATCAGCTATAAAGTCACCAAACTGCTACCTGGAAATGAGTACATCTTCCGTGTCACGGCTGTCAACAAATATGGTGTTGGAGAGCCGTTAGAATCAGAGCCAGTTGTTGCCCGCAATCCCTTCACTACTCCGAGTGCGCCGTCCACGCCAGAGGCCGGTGTCGTCACCAGAGACTCCATTGTGCTTACCTGGGAAAGGCCGGAGAGCAACGGGGGAGCCGAGATCGAGGGCTACATCCTTGAAAAACGTGACAAGGATGGCATTCGATGGAGCAAATGCAACAAGAAGAGGCTGTCTGACCTGAGGTTCAGATGCACGGGTCTCACTGAGGGCCACTCTTATGAATTCAGGGTCTCTGCTGAAAATGCCGCCGGCGTGGGCAAGCCCAGCGCACCAACTCAGTACATCAAGGCATGTGATGCCATTTACCCACCAGGACCTCCAAACAACCCAAAGGTCACTGACCATTCCAGCACAACGGTCTCGTTGACTTGGACTCGGCCTATATATGACGGCGGAGCGCCCATCACTGGTTACATTGTTGAAATAAAGGAGGCTGCGCTGGATGAATGGGTCATTTGCACCCCACACACTGGTGTGCAGGCTACTAACTACACAGTGAAAAAACTGAGGGAGAACACCGAATACAATGTTCGCGTTTGCGCCCTTAACTGTGAGGGCGTGGGTGAACACGTAGACCTGCCCGGCAGTGTCATCGCCGCTGAGAAGCTGGAAGCTCCTGAAATTGAACTCGACTGTGATCTTAGAAAGATGGTCAACGTCAGGGCCACAGCGTCCTTGCGTCTGTTCGTCACAATTCGAGGGAAGCCTGAGCCGGAGGTCCGGTGGTCAAAGGCAGATGGCACTCTGAATGAGCGTGCCCAGATTGAGGTGACGAGCTCCTACACCATGTTAGTAATTGAAAATGTCGACAGATTTGATACCGGCAAATATGTGCTAACTCTGGAGAACATGAGTGGTTCTAAGTCGGCCTTCATCAACGTCCGAGTCCTGGACTCACCTAGCGCACCGACGAAGCTTGAGGTGAAAGATGTGAAAAGAAATTCAGTGTCTCTCTCTTGGGAGCCTCCTCTAATCGATGGAGGGGCAAAGATATCTCATTATATTGTGGAGAAGAGAGAGCAGAAGAGAATGGCCTTCACCAGCGTCAGCACCAACTGTGTGAGGAACTCTTACATGATCTCTGATCTGCAGGAGGGAGGCCGGTATTACTTCCGTGTGCTGGCTGTAAATGAACTTGGCGTGGGTCTGCCTGCCTCCACGGAACAAGTCAAAGTCTCTGAGGCTCCTTTGCCTCCTGGCAGGGTTCAGCTGATGGATGTGACTCGTCACACGGTCACGCTATCCTGGGAGAAACCTGACCATGATGGTGGCAGCAAGATTACAGGCTACATTGTGGAGATGCAGCCCTACGGAGACGAAATGTGGAGTTTGTGCAGTGAAGTTAAAGCACTAGAGGCCACTGTTGAAGGTCTCACAACAGATGAGGAGTACTTTTTCAGGGTTGTTGCGGTGAATGAGAAGGGTCGGAGTGACCCCAAACCTCTTGCTGACCCCGTCATTGTGAAGGACATCACAGTACAACCCATCGTCAACCTGCTGTTCAATACGTTCAGTGTTAAAGCTGGAGATGACCTGAAGATTGATGTCCCCTTCAAGGGCAGGCCGCAACCTGAGGTGACCTGGAAAAAGGACAGCCAGGTGCTGAAGCAGACCACTCGCGTCAATGTTCTCACCTCACAAACCTCGTCTAAAATCTTCATCAAGGATGCCACCAAGGAAGACGTAGGGAAATACGAGATCACCCTGACTAATGCAGTGGGCACGACGACGGGTGAAATCTCTGTTATCATCCTGGACAAACCGGGCCCGCCCAGTAACGTTAAGCTGGATGAGGTGAGCGCTGACTTCGTCTCTCTGTCTTGGGATGCTCCGACCTACGATGGCGGATGCCAGATTAATAATTACGTGGTGGAAAAGAGAGACACGACCACAACCGTATGGCAGATTGTGTCTGCTACTGTTGCCAGGACCTCAATCAAAGTGTCCCATCTCACTCAGGGAACAGAGTATCAGTTCCGTGTTGCAGCTGAGAATCGATACGGCAAGAGTCATGCCGTTGACTCTGCTTCCGTTGTTGCTCAGTACCCATTCGAACCTCCGGGCTCTCCCGTCAACATTCGTGTTTCCCATGCCAACAAGTCTGGCATGCTTGTGGTTTGGGATCGACCGATCACGGATGGCGGCAGCCCCGTCACTGGTTATCACATTGAAAGCAAAGACCAAAGCAGCATTCTTTGGACCAAGATGAACAGAGGTCTTCTGGCTGAGAGCCAGTTTAAGATGACTGGCATTGAAGAAGGCTTGTTCTATCAGTTTAGAGTCTATGCAGAGAACATCGCTGGCATCGGTCCAGGCTCTAAAGCCAGTGAGCCAGTGGCAGCAAGGGATCCATGTGAACCTCCTCGCAACCTTAAAGTCACCAACATCACGAGGACCTCAGTCTCTCTCTTCTGGGAGAGGCCAGAACATGATGTTGGGACCAAGATTACTGGCTACATTGTTGAACGCAAAGAGGTTCCAAATGGCCGCTGGCTGAAATGTAACTTCACCAACCTGCAGGACACTTACTTCGATGTCACAGGCCTAACTGAAGATGTCCAATATGACTTCCATGTTATTGCAAAGAATTCCGCCGAGATGTTAAGTGTGCCTTCTGAGAGTACTGGACCTGTAACAGTCAAGGATGATGTAGATCCGCCCACAATTATCTTGGAGGAAAAGTTCAGACAGCTGCTTGTCATTAAAGCAGGAGAGATTATTCAAATCGACGCTGAAACAACCGGGCGTCCCCTTCCTGTCGTGTCGTGGTCTAAGGATGGAAAGGAGATTGAAGCCAAGGCCAGATGTGAAGTCACCACCACCAACTTCACAACTACCCTGCTCGTAAGAGATGCTATCAGGAGGGACTCTGGCCAATACGTCCTGACTCTGCACAATGTGGCAGGAACCAGGTCTGTGGCTATCAACTGCAAAGTTCTGGATAGGCCTGGACCTTCTTCTGGACCCTTAGCTGTGTCTGGCCTGACAGCAGAAAAATGCACCCTGACCTGGGGCCCGCCTCAGGAGAACGGGGGCGCCGATATCATGCATTACATTGTTGAAAAACGGGAGACGAGCCGGCTGGCTTGGACTCTTGTACATGGTGACATGAAGGCCACCACCTGCAAAGTCACCAAGTTGCTGAAAGGGAATGAGTACATCTTCAGAGTTAGAGGAGTCAACAAATATGGGGATGGCGAAGCCCTTGAAAGTGAGCCAACAAAGGCCATGGATCCGTTCACAGTCCCCGCTGCTCCCACTAATGTCCAGGTCACCTCCGTTACGAGCGAGGCAATGACCATCTGCTGGGAAAGACCGGTGTCTGACGGTGGTAGCAGCATTGCTGGCTATGTCATCGAAAAAAGAGAGAAAGCCGGCCTTCGCTGGTGCCGTGTTAACAAGAAACCGGTTTATGACCTCAGAGTCAAAGCGTCACACCTTCGTGAGGGCTGCGAGTATGAATACCGAGTGTTTGCAGAGAATGCCGCCGGGCTCAGTGCTCCCAGCATTGCCTGTCCACTCACCAAGGCGGAAGATCCCCAGTTCTTGCCTTCCCCACCCGCTAAGCCCAAGATCATTGACTCAACAAAGACCACTGTGACCCTGTCCTGGAATAGACCCCTCTTTGACGGTGGTGCACCTGTGACCGGTTACCGAGTAGAATACAGAAACACTTTGGATGATGAATGGACTGTCGGTGTCCAGAACACCAACAATACAGAGTTCACAGTGGTGGGACTGACCCCTGGTGCAGAGTACGTGTTTGTGGTCAAGTCCATCAACAAGATTGGAGTCAGCGAGCCCAGTCCGGAGTCAGACAAACAGCTGGCCCAGGAACGGGAAGAAGAGCCCGTCTTTGACATCAGCAATGATATGAGGAAAACTCTTATCGTGAAGGATGGCAGCTCCTTCACCATGACGGTGCCCTTCAGAGGCAAACCCATCCCCACTGTGACTTGGAGCAAGCCCGATGTTGACCTAAGGGTCCGTGCTGTCATTGACACCACAGACACCTTCACCTCAATCACTTTGGAGAAAGCCACTCGCAATGATTCGGGAAAATATACCATCACCTTGTCCAGTGTAGCCGGTACTGCCTCCTTGACCCTCAACGTCAGAGTCCTGGATTCTCCTGGACCTCCGGCATCTGTCGTGGTCAAGGATGTGACCAAGAACTCTGCGACTGTGACATGGGATACTCCAGAGAATGAAGGAGGAGGGCCAGTAAAGAACTATCTATTGGACATTCGTGAGGCCAGCAAGAAAGGCTGGACTCAGTTGACCGACACGTGCCATAGGTTGACATACAAGGTGTCAGATCTGCAAGAGGGAGGAGTCTACTACTTCAGAGTGACCGGCGAGAACGAGTATGGCATTGGAGTTCCCGCTGAGACCAAAGAGGGAACCAAGATCACAGGTATTGGGGCTTTTCACGCTGTAATGCTTCACGGAGTCTGACAATATTTGGTCAGGATAACACATTGCTTCCCTTTTCCAGAAAAACCAAGCCCACCAGCTAAGCTTGCAGTGACTGATGTGACCAAGGAGAGTGTAACCCTGGCTTGGGTCAAACCAGAGCAAAGCGGAGGCAGCAGAATTACGGGATATCTGGTGGAGGCGTTGGAGAAAGGCCAGGAGAAGTGGGTCAAGTGTGGCGTAACCAAGTACTTGCAATACACAGTGTCTGGCCTGAGGGAGAACACAGAGTACTTCTTCAGAGTCCGAGCTGAGAATCAAGCTGGATTCAGTGATGTCAAAGAAATGATCACCCCGGTTTTGGTCAAAGACCAACAAGGTATGTGACAGTGACATTTTTTTGTTGTGCTAAAACATACTCACATGTATTTCACAATTTCCGAGCGATTCCTCGGTTTTCTCAGACATGACCTTTAGTGTTTCAAATTTCTTTTGTCATTTTCTGAAGAATCTCCTGAGGTGGTGATGAAGGACTTCCCCCACAACACAGTCTATGTCAGAGCTGGCTCCACTCTCAAATGTGAGATTCCGCTAATAGGCAGGCCACTGCCCAAGGTGACTCTCTCCAAGGACGACGTGATACTTAAGTCAACCATGAGGTTCAACTCCGAAGTCACTCCCGACAGCATAAAGATCACGCTGCGCGAAAGCATCGCAGGAGACTCTGGACGTTACGATATCCTGGCTTCCAACTCAAGTGGCACCACCAAGTCTTTTGTCAACATTGTGGTTCTGGACAGGCCCAGTGTTCCGCTGGGACCTGTAGAGCTGTTTGACATCACGGAGGACAGCGTGAGTCTGAAGTGGCTCCCGCCCGCCTATGAGGGTGGCAGCCCCATCACAAACTACATCATCCAAAAGAGGGAGACGACCACGGCCAGCTGGACGGACGTCTCCTCTGCTGTGGCTCGCTGCACCATCAAGATCCAGAAGCTTACAACAGGCCTGGAGTACCAGTTCAGGATTAGGGCTGAGAACAGATATGGAATCAGCGAGCACCTTGACTCACCACCTGTTGCAATTAGCCTCCCTTACAGTAAGTAACCATTGTTTCATTTTGACCTGAGAATGACACCACCCTCATAACTCTTTGTCATCCCACAGCCTTGCCTGAAGCACCCTCCATTCCAGAGGTCACTGCTGTGACCAGGGAGACCATCACTGTAGCCTGGAAGGAGCCCAAGTCAGACGGAGGCAGTCACGTTTTTGGCTACCATCTCCAGATGAAAGACAAGAACAGCATCCTGTGGCAAAAAGTCAACAGAATGGTCATCCGGGCCACTCACTTTAAGGTCACAAGCATTCACGCCGGACTCATTTATGAGTTCAAGGTGGCAGCCGAGAACGCTGCTGGAATCAGTGAATTCAGCAGAGTTTCTGATCCAGTGCTGGCAATTGACGCCTGTGGTAAGTTGCAGTGCCTGAAACTGGCTCTTTGTGACTGTTTACGGAGTCGCTGTTGTCTTATGAGCTCCGACTGTCTTCCGACAGAACCGCCCACCAATTTGCGCATTAGTGATATCACCAAGAACTCCATCAGCCTGGTCTGGCAGGTGCCTAACTTTGACGGGGGATCCCAGATCACGGGGTACATGGTGGAGAAGAGAGAAGGAGTCGTTGGCAGGTGGTCCAAGGCAAACCTAACCAACATCAAAGACACACGCTACACCGTGACTGGTCTGACTCAGGATCAGACCTATGAGTTCAGAGTAATGGCCAAGAACGCGGTGGGCTCAGTGAGCAATCCTTCCATGACAGCTGGACCCGCCACATGCGTTGACAACTTTGGTACGTAAAACCATGTTAAAAAGGTTAAACTGCCTGGCACGCATTTTCATAAGATTTATATCTCTCTTTCAGGTGCTCCAGAAATTGAAATACCGGCAGAGTACTTGAACGAGGTGAAGCATAGGGCAGGCTCGGATGTCGAACTCAAGTTTAACGTCACTGCGAAGCCTTCACCTACCATTGAGTGGCTAAAGGATGGAAGAGAACTCAAAGCCGGTGCCCAACTCTCCTTTAAACACACCTTTGAATCCACAAGTCTGTTCCTGAGGGACACCTCCCGCCTGAACTCTGGTACCTATGAAGTCAAGGTGAAGAACTCCCTGGGTTCAGCCTGTGCGGTTGTCAGATTGCTCATCCAAGGTACTTCAAATCAATTGTCAAATCAATCTTTTATTTATTTATTCATTTTTGTCGGGGGTGGGGTGGGGTGGTTCAAAAGATAAATATTTTAGGTCGCAATATGAATGCACCCCTTGCTTCCCATTCACAGACAGGCCAGGGCCCCCTGCTGGAGAGATCCAGTTTAAGAAGGTGACCGCCGACAACATCACCATCATGTGGTCTCCTCCTGCTGACGAGGCCGGTGCCATGGTGACGCACTACATTGTGGAAAAGAGGGAGACCAGCAGAGTCATGTGGTCCATCATCTCGGAGAAACTTGTCGACTGCATCGTTAACGTGCCCAGACTCATCCAGGGCAACGAATACATCTTCAGAGTCCGCGGGGTCAACAAATATGGCATCGGTGACCCTCTGGAGTCTATGCCCGTCATCGCCAAAAATGCTTTTGGTAGGAAAACTGAAACAAAAAGGATGCATGAATTGCCACCCCTGTCGTGGATAACAACCGATGTGTTCATTTCGACAGTTCCTCCCAGTGAGCCATCCAAGCCTCAAGTCTCCATGATCACCAGATCAACCATGACAGTGATTTGGGAGAGACCAGCTCTTGATGGAGGCAGCGACATTGACGGTTATTACCTGGAGAAAAGGGAAAAGAAGAGTCTCCAGTGGTTCAAGGTTGGTTTATGGAAAACTTTGAGAAGACGCTTCTCATTACTGGCGGCAGCTGTACAGCTAATGATAATAATGGCCGGTTGTGCTTCATCGTGCAGGTGGTGAAAGGCACAATCAGAGACACCAGGCAGAAGGTCACCGGCCTTGTGGAGAACAACGAATACCAGTACCGAGTATGCGCTGTCAACAAGGCCGGAGCAGGGAACTACTCAGAGGCCTCTGAATTATACAAGGCCCATGATCCTATCGGTATAGATTTGCACCCACTATGACATGTTCAACGAATGCCTTTCCGCTACCGTAGCTGATGGATGCTTTGTTTACCTTTAGATCTTCCTGGGGAGCCGTCCAAATTGCGTGTGGTGGACTCCACAAAGACCTCCATCACTCTTGGATGGGAGAAGCCTGTGTACGACGGTGGCAGCGAGATCACACATTATTTCTTGGAGCAAATGAATGCAGAGGAGCGGGAGTGGGCGACGGTCAACCCGCAAGTTAAGACCTGCGAGTATGTGGTTTCTCACCTCAAACCAGCAACCTACTACTTCTTCAGAGTTTCCGCTGTCAATTGCAAGGGCAAAGGAGAGGATATCAAGATGTACCAGCCTGTGCAAGCCAAGGACATCTTGGGTTTGTATCTTGACCAAGACAAAACTATCAGAGTATGAAGTTGGCTAGTTCTCAAATCTTTGTGTGGAACTTTTCTCCCAACAGAGGAGGCTGACGTGGACTTGGACGTTCCCATGAGCACCCAATATACCGTCCGGGCAGGGCGTGATGTGGAGGTGTTTATTCCTCTGAAAGGACGCCCCACCCCTGGCGTCACCTGGCGGCGTGGCGAACGCAACATTGCCGCCGACACACGCTACACCATCACCAGCACAGAGCGCGCCACCACCCTTCTAATTCCCAAGGTCACTCGCGATGACTGCGGCAAGTACCTGCTGGAAATTGAGAATGGCGTAGGAGAGCCCAAGATCATAACAGTTTCCCTGAAGGTGCTTGACAGTCCGTCCACTTGCCAAAAATTGATGGTTAAGAATGTGACCAGAGGAAAATTGACTCTGAGTTGGGAGGCTCCTCTCATTGATGGTGGTTCACCAATCACTAAATACATTGTTGAGAAGAAAGGCTCCACCATGAAAGCGTACCAGATGGTCACGGACGAGTGTGTCAGTACGAGCTACAAAGTGTCGGGCCTGGAGGAGGACATTGCTTATTTCTTCCGCGTGTCGGCTGAAAATGAGTTTGGTGTGGGTGACGCCTGCGAGACCTCGGAGCCCGTCAGAGCCACTGAGACCCCAGGTGCGGTTAAAGACCTGGTCATGCTTGACTCCACAAGATCCTCCGTCACACTGCAGTGGACCAGACCCGACCATGACGGAGGCAGCCACATCTCTGAGTACGTCATCGAGAAGAGAAATGAGAATAATGTCAGCTGGACTTTTGCTACAACTTGTAAGCGCTGCACATGTGAGGTGACGGGGCTGCAAGAGGATTCTGAGATGAACTTCAGGGTCTATGCGAAGAATGAGAAGGGCACCAGTGACTTCTCACAGATTGGCCCAATCACAGTCATGGATTTCATCATTCCACCCGAGGCGTGCCTCGGTGACTACCCTAACGGAGAGCTGGCTGTTCGTGTCGGTCAGAACATCCACATCGAGCTGCCCTTCAAGGGAAAACCCAGGCCTGCCATCAGTTGGCTGAAAGACAATTTGCCTCTTAAGGAAAGTGAGAAGGTTCGCTTCAGGACCACTGACAACAAGACCGCCGTTACAGTTAGAGGTGCCCAGAAGGAGCATGCAGGCCAGTATACCTTGGTTCTGGACAACAGAACGGTAAAGAACTACTTTGACATTGAGGTAACCGTTCTTGGGCCCCCCTCTGTGCCCGTTGGCCCCATCCACTTTGACGAGATCAAGGCCCAGAATGTTATCATCTCTTGGAATGAGCCCAAAGAGGACGGAGGCGGTGAGATTACCTGCTACAGCGTGGAGAAGCGCGAGACTTCCCAGGCCAACTGGAAGATGGTCTGCTCAAGCGTGGTTAGAACGTCCTTTAAGGTTCCAAACCTGGTGAAGGGAACCGTGTACCAGTTCAGAGTACGTGCAGAGAATAAATACGGGGTCAGTGAACCACTCATCTCCACAGAGGTCCTTGCTCAGCATCAATACAAACCCCCCGGTGCTCCTGGAAAGCCAGTAGCCTACAATGTGACCAGCGATGGCACGACCATTCGGTGGGAAGCTCCAGGGTTTGATGGGGGATCCCCCATTCTCGGCTACCACGTTGAGAAAAAAGACAGGAATAGTCTCCTGTGGCAGAAGGTGAACTCCACCATCATCTCCAACAAAGAGTACAGGGTTATCAGTCTTTTGGAGGGTCTAGAGTACTCTTTCAGAGTCTATGCAGAGAACAATGCCGGATTCAGCCCTGTTAGCGAACAAAGCAAACACGCACTCGCTATCTCCCCCGTTGGTGAGTAACTGTGACCAGCATGTTCATAATTATTTATTCGTTGAAGCGGTGCTTGACCTGACGTTTTGGGAAATCTTCTTCAGATCCACCTGGCACCCCAGTATGCATCGACGTGACTCGCGACTCTGTCACTTTGAAATGGGACGTCCCCAAGCGAGATGGCGGGAGCAAGATTGTGGCCTACAGCGTGGAGAGGCGCCAAGGCAGAGGAAAATGGCTGCGCTGCAACTTCACTGACATCAGTGAGACCCAATTTACTGTGACCGGTCTGTCCGCCGGAGACAGGTTCGAATTTCGGGTGATTGCACGGAATGCCGTGGGCACTGTCAGCCCCCCGTCCAACTCATCTGGATACATCATGACCAAGGATGAGAGCAGTATGCATTCTAACATTTGGAAAAAAAATGGAAAGATGATTTTCAGTTTGCAAATCCTAACTCGCCCTCTTTGCAATTTGTAGTCTCTCCTGAGATCGATTGGTGCCCAGATCAGAGGCTGACGCTGAGAGCTGGAGAAAATGTCCACCTTAGCTGCAACATCACCGGTCGTCCAGTACCACAAGTTGTGTGGTACAAGGATGGAAAGGAGATTGACAAGAGGACCATGATGGATATCGAGATTACAGCTGGTATCGGTACCAGCAGCCTGTTTGTTCGCGAAGCAGACAGGAAACACCGTGGCGTCTACACTGTGGAGGCCAAGAACAGCTCTGGTGCCAAGAAAGCCGACGTCACCGTCAGAGTGCAAGGTAGCTGTATTCTGAGGACGATGTTCCCGAGGACGACTGCACCATCTGATTTGTCCATTTTTGAATGATTTACCTATTTTATGTCTTTTCAGATACTCCTGGACCAGTTGAGGGTCCTATCCGTTTCACCGGCATCACGGGCGAAAAGTGCTCAGTCTGGTGGAATCCTCCGGAAAATGACGGTTGTGCCGCCATCACCCACTATGTTGTCGAGAAGAGGGAGACGTCTCGGCTTTCCTGGGCCTTGGTCAACTCCAAGTGTGAAGCCTGCTCTTTCAGCGCCACCAACCTCATCAAAGGCAACGAGTACCAGTTTAGAATATCTGCTGTCAACAAGTTTGGTGTTGGCAAACCACTGGACTCTGTGCCCTTCGTTGCGCAGATGCAATACAGTAAGTCTGCCTGAAAGAGTTTTTGTGTTGTCCTGTTGGTTCCTCGTCTCAGCTTAATGTTCACGTCTGTTCCTGTGCACAGCTGTGCCTGAGGCACCTGGTACGCCTGATTCTACGCATCTGACCGGCAACAGCATCACCTTGTGCTGGACCAGGCCGAGGTCAGACGGCGGTAACGAGATCAAGCACTATATCTTGGAGAGACGTGAGAAGAAGAGTCTGCGCTGGGTGAAGGTCTCTGCAAAAAGGCCGATCACAGAGCTCAGACACAGAGTCACCCACCTTACCGAAGGCAATGAATATGAGTTCCGCGTCATGGCTGAGAACGGGGCCGGTGTTGGGCCGGCCAGTGGTACATCCAGGCTCTTCAAATGCAGAGAGCCGACCAGTTCTCCCAGTGCCCCGACGGTAATCAAGGTGAGTTAGCATCGAGACAGCAAAGAGACCTCAGATGTCAGCATGATGAAAGCATAACTGGTCCACTAACTGTCCTTTGTGTGTCCATCAGGTTATTGACTCCACCAAATCCTCTGTCACCCTGGAATGGACCAAACCAGTCTTTGACGGTGGCCTACCGATCATTGGCTACAATGTTGACATGTGCAAGGCCAGCCTCGAAGAGTGGCATAGAGTAAACAGCCAGATTTGCATTCACAACCGCTACACCGCCAAGGGCCTGGTTGCCGGGGAACTTTACAAGTTTAGGGTCAGCGCTGTGAATGGGTCTGGGGAAGGGGAATCGTCAGTGATGCCCAATGCCGTGCAGGCTCTAGATAGGCTAACGTCGCCTGAGTTTGACATCGATGCCAACTTCAAGCAGACACATACAGTGAAAAATGGCGGCACCGTCTCCCTTCACGTGGCTTTCCGGGGCAAACCAACTCCTCTGCCCACCTGGTCCCGAGTGGATGGCGAACTGCCGGTGATGGCCGATATTAGCAGCACGGATTCTCACTCGACACTGACTATTGAGGGCTGCACGCGCTACGAGGCCGGCAAGTACACGCTCTCCCTGGAAAACAACAGCGGGCGCAAGTCCATTACATTTACCGTGAAAGTGCTGGACACGCCCGGACCTCCGGGCGCCTTCACCTTCAAGGATGTCACACGTGGAGCCTTAACCATGATGTGGGACGCCCCGAGCAATGATGGCGGCTCGCGGATCCAACACTATATTGTGGACAAGCGCGAGGCCAGCCGCCTCACGTGGCAAGAGGTCAGCACCAAGTGCTCCCGCCAGATGATCAGGGTAACGGGTCTGGATATGGGTGTATCGTACCTCTTCAGAGTGATTGCCGTTAACCAGTATGGCCAGGGGGAGCCTCACGAGATGACCGACCCCATCATGGCGACTGAAGAACCTGCTCCGCCCAAGAGAGTAGACGTTGTGGACACCAGCAGTTCCACAGCTTCGCTGGTGTGGCTCAAGCCTGAGCATGACGGTGGTAGCCACATCAGAGGGTACATAGTGGAGTTCAGAGCCGAGGACAAACAGCTCTGGTCTGTCGCTGGGGAGACCAAGTCCCTTAAGATGCTGGTAGAGGGTCTGATTGATAACACGCAGTACGAATTCAGAGTCAAGGCCAAGAACGACGCTGGCATCAGTGAGCCTCAGACAACCTTAACCTCCGTGCTCATCAAAGAGCCTCGCACTGAACCCACCGCCGATCTCAGCAGCATCACCAACCAACTCATCAGCTGCAAGACCTCCGATGCCTTCAGCATTGACATTCCCATTAGCGGCAGGCCGGCACCAAAAGTCACGTGGAGGCTGGAAGAGATGAAATTGAAGGAGACAGACAGAGTTTCCATCAAGAACACCAAAGAGAGAACCACTCTGGTGGTGAAAGACAGCAAGAGAAGTGACAGCGGCAAATACTACCTGACTCTGGAGAATGCTGCTGGAGCCAAAACCTTTACTGTGACTGTGATGGTGGTTGGAAGACCCAGCCCTCCCACAGGCCCTGTGGTGGTTTCAGATGTGTCCTCTGAGTCCTGCTCACTGTCCTGGTCTGAGCCCTCTGACGATGGCGGCACAGAAATCAGCAACTACATTGTTGAGAAGCGTGAGTCGGGCTCGGCCTCCTGGCAAGTGGTCAACTCCAGCGTGAAGAGAACTACCATCAAGGTCACTCATCTGACCAAGTACATGGAGTACACATTCAGAGTGTGCGCCGAGAACAAGTTTGGAGTCAGCAAGTCCATCGAGTCTGCTGCTGTGGTCATTGAACATCCTTTCGGTATGTTTTGGACATGGATGTATGTATTGCCTGAAACTCTCTGTATTTTTGGTAAACTTATGATTCCCTCTGATTAACTTCTGCAGTTCCTCCAAGTCCTCCATCTCGTCCGGATGTTGTGACCGTGTCTGCCAATGCCATCAGCATCAAATGGGATGTGCCCTATGCTGACGGTGGTAGCATGGTGACTGGTTACTGGATTGAGAAGAAAGAGCGGAATACAATTCTGTGGGTGAGGGAGAACAAGCTGCCCTGTCTGGATTGTCACTACAAGGTGTCCAGCCTGATCGAGGGTCTGGAGTACCAGTTTAGAGTCTATGCCATGAACCTCGCTGGAATTAGCAAGGCCAGTGAGGCCTCCAGACCAGTGGTGGCACACAACCCCGTTGGTGAGTGGAAGATTGGTTTTGCACATGCAAGCCTGATGTAAACCGACCCCTATTTCTGGACACAGCCACTAATGCTTTGATGAAAACATCTCCTCCTGCTCCTCTCCTCAGATCCACCCGGTCACCCTCAGGTGACAGACATCACTCGCTCCTCCGTGTCATTGTGTTGGACCGTGCCCGTCAATGACGGCGGCAGCAACATAGTCGGATACGTGGTGGAGAGGAAAGTCTATAGTACTGATGAGTGGGACGACAACCGCTGGCTTAAGTGCAACTACACCACCATCACGGAGAACTACTTCACCGTCACCAACCTGGGAGAGGGAGAAACCTTCGAATATCACGTCATTGCCAAGAACGCTGCCGGCGTCCACAGTGCGCCCTCTGCATCCACCGGACCCGTGACTTGCAAGGACGAATACTGTAAGCCTTAAAATGTTTTTGTCGTTTTCATCGGCTATTTCAGTTACAGTGGATCCCGACTTCGGAGCAGCTTTTAATGTAAAATTGTGAAATTCTTTTTCTCGATCTTCAGCTCCTCCTCGAGCGGAGTTGGACAGCAAGTTGATTGGCGAGACCATCATTGTCACCGCCGGCTCTGACCTTGTCCTGGACGGTGCGGTGGGTGGTAAACCAGAACCCACCGTTTACTGGTCCAAGGGCGACAAGGTCCTGGAGATTAGCGAAAAGTACTCGCTGACCTACACAAGCACGAGAGCAATGGCTGTCATCAAGAACTGCGACAGATTTGACACCGGCAGATACATCCTGACTGTCAAGAATGTCAATGGAGTCAAGACGGCTGCCGTCACCGTTAAAGTCCTGGGTCAGTTGATTAAATCTTAATCATAACTGGGGTTCTTTTTGTGTTTCTTTTTGTAGGCGTGCAATTCCAAATTTGGACTTGAGTGTATCCTGTGAAAACCCAGAAAAAGGGAAAGCAATCGCTTACGAATTGGCGGCGAAGTGGTTACGCAAGCCCTTATATCAAAGTCACGATTCTATCTTTTGGTGTCTCACAGACACTCCTGGGCCTCCAGCTGATAAGATCGTGATCAGCAGAGTGACAGAGGAGAAGTGCACCGTGTCCTGGAAAATCCCCCTGGAAGATGGCGGCGACATTGTCAGCCATTACATCGTGGAGCGCCGTGAGACCAGTCGCCTCAACTGGGTCATCATGGAGACAGAGTGCAAGAGCTTGTCCTGTGTCAGTACCCGGCTGATCAAGGGCAACGAGTACATCTTCCGAGTGCGGGGAGTCAACAAGTATGGACCTGGTGTTCCACTGGAATCAGAGCCGGTCATAGCCAGGAATGCTTACAGTAAGATTTATAGCTATCTATCTATCTATCTATCTGTCTGTCTATCTATCTATCTATCTGTCTATCTGTCTGTCTGTCTGTCTGTCTGTCTTATTTATTTGCCTACACACAGGCAGCTATGGTGCTTTTAGCACAGCAGAAATAGGTTTAGTTCTTGAGTCCTAAAACAAAGAGGCTCAAGTTTCATGCTGAGTCAAGAGCCAAATAATACAAATGAGTTTTAAGACGCGTTTTAAAGATGGGTGGCTTCCCTAACGTTCAGTGGGAGGTGATCCCAAAGAGAGGGGCCGGTAATACAAAAGGCTCCATCCCCTCTGAGCCTCCACTTAGTTGTTAATTTCTCTCATCGTGTCTGCTACGCAGACCTGAGGCAGAGAGCTCAGAGAAGCTTGAATTGGGCCAGCTACCTCAGATGAAAGAAGCGGGATTTAACAGCAATTGCAAATCACTGTCCAATTTAAGACCCAAGTTCGAGAATGTCGTCTTAAGGAGCCAGGGGGCCCAAGTCCGCAGGATGGGATGGACAAGGGCCACTGGTGCCAAACACCATCATGTCTGACTTCTTTTCATTGGAATTCAAGAAATTCAGTGCCATCCAGGTCTTGATTTCCTTTCGACAGGATAGAAGGCTGGGAGTAAGACCCATACTGTATGAATGTCAAAATTAAAGCTCAAGTCTTGTTTCACGAAAGTTTTACGGTACTATGGCGAGTGGAGTCTCATGAGTGCTACATTTGCAGACTGAAGTCTGCCTCATGCCAAGTCAAGTGACCAGAGCCCCCACCTCGGTTAAAAAGTCACTCTCATAAAAGGTCTACTTGCATTTTTGGGTCTGTGACTCTGAACCCGTTTGTTTCTACTCCAGCGTTGCCATCATCACCGGGCACACCGGAGGCCACAGCCGTGGGCAAGGAACACGTCATTATCGAGTGGCTGAAGCCGGAAAGTGACGGAGGCAGCGAGATCAAAACTTACCTCGTTGACAAACGGGAGAAGAATAGCACCAGGTTTGAGCAATTCTCTCATCTGCAACTAACCAGGCTTAGATATCGCCAATCAAGGCAAAAGTATGCCCATCTTTTGGCAAATACGGCAACATTGACACATTGAAGATATTTGGCAGTTTTCTTTTACTGAGCAGTTTTTTATTTCTTGCAAGCAAGGGCATTCATTTTTTCCCCCTTTTTTTTTTTTTTAAATCCCAGATTTTGCAGGTTCATTCTCCCCGTCTATGTTCTCTGTGTTCATGATATGCTCTCTCGCAAATCAGGTGGACACGAGTCAATAAGGCGTACACCATCTATGACACCCGCCTCAAGATCACAGGGCTGCTGGAGGGAAGCGAATACCAGTTCAGAGTGACGGCCGTCAATGCGGCAGGGGACAGCCAGCCCAGCGACGCCTCACCGTACATCCTCCTCAGAGATCCCACCTGTGAGAATCTCCGTTTGTTTGTTGAGCTACTCTAGGGCTCTTCTTCCAAGTGACACAGCCAGGGGAAAAAATGAAGGATTAAAGATCAATTTGAAATGATTCACCTTTGATTTATTTTTAGGAACATATTAAGACTTGAGCCGCGAGCAGCTATAAAGGGCCGATGCAGCCCGTGGCAACGTTGGGGTACCGGCACTTTGGGACATTCAAACTTTTGCTTGCATCCCCTCGTAGACACCCCAGCTCCCCCATCAGCGCCTCGCATCACAGACACAACCAAGCACAGCATCAGCATGACTTGGACCAGACCCATGTACGACGGCGGCTCAGATGTCACTGGCTACGTGGTGGAAATCCTGGAGGAGGGTTCTGAGCAGTGGTACCGCGCCACAGCCAAGGCTCTCAAGACCAGCGAGTATCTAGCCGGCGGTCTGGTCGCCAATAAGAAATACAGGTTCAGGGTGGCGGCTGTCAACAGCAACGGCACCGGAGAGTTCAGTGAACCCAGCGCTGAGATCGAGCCCCTTGAGAGAATTGGTAAGTCTTGCCTGGAGGATGTTATTCATAATTTGTTAAGCGCTTTGTTACAGCTGCCGCTGTTGTGAAAGCGCAATATAAATCAATATGTATTGTCTTGTATTGTATGATGCGACCTCCTGATTCTAATGGCATTGCCTGCTCCCAGAAATGCCCGACCTGGAATTGGACGAGGACCTGAAGAAGACTGTTTGTCTTCGTGCTGGAGGAACACTACGACTTTTTGTGACTGTTGGCGGACGCCCGACGCCAGTTGTGTCCTGGAGGAAGACGGGCGTGGAGCTGCAGAGCCGCGGCTTCATCGAGACCACTGATAGCTACACCATGTTGATAGTGGAGAAGGTTGACCGATACGACTCTGGAAAATACGTAGTGGAGGCGGAGAATCCGTCAGGCAAAAAGTCTGCAACCGTCCTGGTCAAAGTCTATGGTAGGAGAACGTCCAAACATTGTGTGGGAGCAGCTTTAAACCTGGAGTCTAATTCAACGTTTGCTGCTCGTCTCCCACAGACACTCCTGGTCCTCCAGCTTCTGTGAAAGTGAAGGACTATACCAAGGAGTCAGTTGTCATCACCTGGGACGTCCCCAGTATTGACGGCGGCGCTCACGTCAGCAACTATATCATCGAGAAACGGGAAGCCAGCATGAAATCTTACAAGACTGTCACCACAGAGTGTAGAAAGACCCTGTACAGGGTCACTGGCCTGGAGGAGGGTGCGCACTACTTCTTCAGAGTACTACCGGAGAACATCTATGGCGTTGGTGAGCCCTGCGAGACAGCTGAGGCTGTGCTGGTATGCGAAGTGCCATCAGTGCCTCTGAGCCTCCAGATCAGTGACATCACAAAGTCTTCTGTCACCCTGCGCTGGGAGAAACCGATGCATGAAGGCGGCAGCAGGCTGATGGGCTATATTATCGAAGCCTGCAGGGTGTCTACAGACAGATGGACCACAGTTGCCACCCTCAAAGCCTCCACTTCTCAATACACTGTCCAGTCTCTGACAGAGAACGACCAGTACTTTTTCAGAATCCGAGCCTTTAACAGCAGAGGAACCGGTGAGGCCATGGATATTGTCACCCCCGTCACCATCCAGGAAATCAAAGGTAAGAGCATGACTGCCAAGAGACGCATGTCTTAGCGAGTGTAAAACGCTTTTATCATTTCACCTGACCTGTCCGTGCTACCTCTGTGCTCGCCTCCAGTGATGCCAAAGATCGACATTACCAGCGTTCCTCAGAAGATTATCTATGTACCCCGTGGTAAACCCATCGATCTCAACTTGCCAATTACGGCCAAACCGCAGCCTGTCTGCTCCTGGTTCTTTAATGGCATCCAGCTGAAGGACAGCCTGGAGCGCATCAAAATCGAAAGCAACGGCAAACACGTCCATCTCGTCATCCGCGAGACCACCATCAATGACACCGGAGACTACATGCTGGAGGTCAAGAACGCCATCGGTGTGGCAACCGAAGTTATTAAAGCCGTAATCCTCGGTAAGGGTGCCGGCTCTCCAAATGGACACCATACCGATTTTCAGATACTTGCTGTGTGAGATCTGGACCCTGCTCTTCATGTGCTTTTTCAGACAAACCCGGCGTGCCAATCGGCCCTATGAAGATCGTGGAGGTTGATGGCCTATCGGTGACGGTTAGCTGGGAACCTCCAGAGAAGGATGGCGGCGCTAACATCAGCGGATATGTGGTAGAACAGCGCGATGCTCACCGCCCCGGTTGGATCACCGTCTCCGAATCGGTGACCCGACCGTGCTTCAAGTTCACCAGACTCTCTGAGGGAACAGAGTATGTGTTCCGTGTCGCTGCCATGAACCGCTTCGGCGTCGGTTGTTTCCTGCAGTCGGAAGTGGTGGAATGCAAGAGTGCTGAGAGTGAGTCCACATTTCAAATTGACCGCAACAAGTTTGTAGGCACTGCAGCGATGTTTGCTACGGTTTTCCTCCTAATCTCTCCGTCGTTAACTTGCACAGCCATCCCCGGACCTCCGAGCAAACCGGAGGTGCTTGACGTCACTCACGAGGGCATGACCCTGACATGGCATCCGCCGGAGGACAACGGTGGCTCCACCATTGCCGGTTATATTATTGAGCGCAAGGAGCCTCGTTCTGACAGATGGCTGAGGATCAACAAGAACCCAGTGACCATGACCAGGTACCGCTCTTCTGGTCTGATCGAAGGCCTGGAGTACGAATACCGCATCACTGCCATTAACTCCAGAGGAACTGGCAAACCCAGCGAGACCTCTGCCATCACTGTTGCCATAGACCCCATAGGTACATGATATGTTTATTGAAGTTTACCCAAAGAGTACTTGTGAATCAGTCAATCTGACCCTAGGTGTACTGTTCTGAAATAGCGCCACCAGGTCCTCCGGTTCATCCCAAAGTCACAGACACCACCAGAACCTCCGTGTCTCTAGCCTGGATGCCACCTGTGGAGGAAGGTGGCTCTGTGGTCACTGGTTACTTTGTTGAGATGCAGAAGGTGGACCAGGTGGAGTGGACCTTGTGCAACACCACACCCACCAAAATGTCTGAGTATACCCTCACGCACATGCCCCAGGGAGCTGAGTACAAGTTCAGAGTCACCGCCTGCAATGCTGGTGGCACTGGAGAGCCCGCAGAGATTCCTGGGGTCGTCAAAGTCCAGGAGATGCTGAGTAAGATTCAGTGTTTGTTCAGTCGAGTCACATGATTTGCAGTATCATAGGTAACCAAAATCTCTACTGTGTCTGCCTTAGATCATCCTGAATTCGAACTGGATAGTAGATATGAGGAAGGCTACGTCGTGCGGCAAGGAGGAGTCATCTGCCTTTCTGTGCCGTTTACCGGTAAACCCATCCCTACATGCAAGTGGACCAAGGATGGTCGCGACATCTCTCACCGGGCCATGATCGCCATCAATGATGATCTGACGGAGCTCGTCATCAAGGAGGCTCACAAAGACGACACGGGTACTTACGACCTGCTGTTGGAGAACAAATGTGGCAGGAAAGCTGTGTACATCAAGGTAAGGTCAAATCCTGCGACCTACACCCGGTGAAGTTATTTATTTTTTTATCTCACGTGTGGATGTCTGTATACCTCCAGGTGAAGGTCATTGGGCGCCCCGACGTCCCAGAGGGCCCTCTGGAGTTTGACGATATTCAGGCCAGATCAGTTCGAGTCAGCTGGAGACCCCCGTCTGACGACGGAGGCTCTGACCTCCTTGGATATATCGTGGAGAGGCGAGAAGTCCCCAAGGCTGCTTGGTACACAGTGGACGCCCGGGTCAAAGAGAACTCCCTGGTGGTCAAAGGCCTAAAAGAGAATATGCAGTACCACTTCAGGGTCTCTGCTGAGAACCAGTTTGGTGTCAGCCGGTCCTTGAAGTCCGAGGAGCCTGTCACCGCAAAGACACCGCTCTGTGAGTAGCGACAATGTACCGTGACTTAAAGGTGCCCCGACTATGTCAGTGTACTGTTCCTTCAAAACAACTCAAATTGCAGCCGTGAATAGTTAAACCTCTGGTAACAAGGGCACACCCTGAAGTGAATACACTCTGAAGTGAAAATTCGTAAAGTGCCAATGTTTTGTGTGGCAACCATTGTTTTCCAGCACTACCTTAACTCTCTTGGACACAGAGTTCATCAGAGCTTCACAGATTGTCCCTGGAACCCTCTTCCACTCGTCCATGATGACCTCACATCACAATCATATGCGTCACTCGCCGTGATGATAATTGTGGGATTATTTGCATTATTTGCATATGAACGTTTGTGCTCTCAAACCCAGGGCTTTTGACGTGGGTTTTCGACCCAGGGCAAATTTGACGGAAAAGTGGTCCTTCGCCAATGTACTGTTCCTTCAAAACAACTCAAATTGCAGCCGAGAATTGACGGAAAAGTGGTCCTTCGCCAGCGTGGCGAAAATGGGAAACAATTCACTTTGGCACTCCCTGTTTCAACTCGTCATTGGTGAAGTGGCGAATGGGGACCATTTTCATTGAAAACGCGGACCAGAAACGTGGTGTTTTTGGTGGAGCTAGAATAACGGATCAAGAGCAATTCAGTCCATCGGGCTGGGTGAAATGATCTGAGGGGTCACAGAACAAATTAAGACCGTCAATTAAGGCACTGCTGTTGGACATAATTCGATAATATCCCAACTCTTCTGAGCCTTTGTTTCCCGATGATTTATCAACAGGCCCACCAGAACCTCCCAGCAATCCTCCAGAGATCATGGATGTGGCCAAGTCTTCAGTGTCTCTGTCATGGGCCCGGCCCCGGGACGATGGTGGCTCCCGTGTCACAGGATACTTTGTTGAGAGGAGGGAGGTTTCCACAGAGAAGTGGGTCCGCCACAATAAGACTCACATCACGACCACCATGTACAACATCACCGGCCTCATCCCCGATGCAGAGTACATGTTCAGAATTGTGGCTCAGAATGACGTCGGCCATAGTGAGCCGGGCCCTGCATCTGAGTCGGTGGTCTGCAAAGATCCATTCGGTGTGTAAATGTCACCTGATGGTGCAATCGGCGGCGGGGACCTAATCAAGTAAACCTTTGTTGTTGTTGACCTGCTCATTGATTATCTTCTCGACAGATAAACCGAGCCAACCTGGAGAGATCGACGTCATCTCTATAACCAAAGACTGCATAACCATCCATTGGTCGCGGCCCGACTTTGACGGGGGGAAGGAGATCTTGGGGTATTGGATAGAGTTCAGGCAGGCCGGCGAAAGTGCCTGGAAAAAGTGCAACAAAGAGCGTTCCAAGGACCGTCAGTTTACCATGGGCGGCCTAATGGAAGCCACCGAGTACGAGTTCAGAATCTTGGCCGAGAACGAAGCCGGGCTCAGCAGGCCTAAGCGCACACCCATGGGCATCAAAACCAAGTTGAGCGGTGAGTGACGGTCATGGAGTTCTTCATCTCACTGCTCATAATACCAGCTCGGGTTCTGGTTACATTGTCAAATTGAAATGGACTTTTGCTCATGTGCGGCAGTCGGCGAGGCTCCGGCTTTGAAGGAAGACATTCTCGATGTCACAACCAAACTCGGAGAATCTGGGACGCTGTCCTGTGGCATCATCGGCAGACCTCTGCCAGAGATCAAGTGGTACCGCTATGGCAAAGAGCTGATTCAGAGTCGCAAGTACAAGATGAGCTCGGACGGCCGCAACCACTCCCTCATCATCATGACCGACGAGCAGGAAGACGAGGGTCTGTACACCTGCAGGGCCATCAACGAAGCCGGGGAGATCGAGACCAGCGGCAAACTGCGGCTACAGGCTGCACCTCAGCTACACCCCGGCTTCCCTCTGAAGGAGAAATATTACGCCGGAGCCGGCACCAGTCTGCGCCTCCACGTGGTCTACATTGGCCGTCCCATTCCCCAGATTATGTGGTTCTATGACAAGAAGCCTCTGAACACGTCCGAGAAAGTGATTATTGAGAACACGGAGAGCTACACGCACCTGGTGGTGAGGAACGTTCAGAGGAAGACCAACGCTGGCCGTTACAAAGTGCAGCTGAGCAACAAGTATGGCACTGCCGACACAGTGTTGCGGGTTGAAATCCAAGGTAAGGTGAAGATCTGAAGAGGGTTAGAAGATACAATTTCATTGCCGCGACTCTAAAACCGCCTGTTTTGATGTTCCCAGATAAGCCATGTATCCCCGAGGGCCCAGTGGTGGTCGATGCTCTACTGAAGAGCTCCGTCATTATCAGCTGGAAGGCTCCCAAAGACGACGGTGGCGCCATGATCACCAACTACATTGTGGAGAAACGCATGGCCAAGGAGGGAGAAGTGTGGAACCTCGTGTCCTCTTCTGTCTCTGGAACCACGTGCCGCATACCCAACCTTGTGGAGAGTGCCGGTTACTACTTCAGAGTTTCTGCTCAGAATCAGTACGGCGTCAGCGAGCCTCTGGAGATCCCCTCGGTGGTCATCATCAAGAGTCCATTCGGTGAGTCGCGCACACCCAAACAAGGAAGTTATCTTCATTTGATTTTAGCTTTGACCATCTCGTGGTGCTTTATTTGTTCAGAAAAACCTGGCATACCACAGCAACCCTTCATCATGAGCTCCTCCGAGGACTCGTGTGTCGTCTGCTGGAAGCCGCCAATCAGTGACGGCGGCGCTAAAGTGTCCGCCTACTATCTGGAGAAGCGTGAGAAGAAGCAGAACAAGTGGATGTCAGTCACCACTAAGAAGATTGTGGAGACCAGCTTCGAGGTCACAGGCCTGATTGAGGGCTTCGAGTACGAGTTCCGTGTCAAGTGCGAGAATGTGGGCGGTGAGAGTGACTGGAGCGAAATCTCAGAGCCCATCGTGCCCAAGTCCGACCAGTCCCTGCGTGCTCCTGGCTTCAGGGAGGAGATCCGAGACATGACTGTCAAATACCATGCGAACGCCACCTTTGTTACCAAGGTTCTTATCTCTATGCCCAAACATCGTTTGACAGCAATGCATACCTTGTACTTCTGACAGTTGTCATCATGAGTTCCTATTCTTTTCCCACCTGTGTGCAGGTGACGGGACATCCCAAGCCTGTGGTGAAATGGTACAAAAGTGGAAAGGAGATCCAGGCTGACGGAACCAAAATTAAAACACAGGAGTTCAAGGGCGGTTACTACCAGCTTGTCATCGCTGCTGCTGATGAGAACGACGCCACAGTCTATCAAGTCAGAGCGACCAACTCTGGAGGATCCGTCTCCACCACAGCAAACTTGGAAGTCGAAGGTAGACATTCAAGTCACTCTGATCCTTTCAATGGTGATTGTTTTGAGACTGAGCATTGCGATGCGGTCTTTGCCATTCCAGTTCCTGCCAAGATTCACCTGCCAAAGGAGCTCCAAGGAATGGGAGCAGTCCACGCTGTTCGGGGCGAGCGCATAACCATCAAGATCCCCATCTCCGGAAAGCCCGAACCAGCAATTACCTGGCAGAAGGGCCAGGAGATCCTCTCCAACTCTCCATGTCACCAGATCATCACCACTCGCTCTTTCACATCGCTAGTCTTCCAGAAGGGAGTACAGAAGATGGACACGGGCTACTATAGCATCACTGCCAAAAACAGGTTCGGAATGGACAAACAGACCATTGAGGTGAGCATCGATGACATTCCTGAAGCTCCCAAAGGACTGGTGGTCAGCGGCATTTCCCGAGACTCCGTTTCACTGACCTGGGAGCCCCCTGCCAGTGATGGTGGGAGTGGCATCATCAGTTATGTTGTGGAGAAATGCGCCACCTCTGCGGATAGGTGGATTCGTGTTGGACAGACGACCGACTGCAGCTTCACCGTCGTCAACATCTTTGGCAAGGCAAAATATCAGTTCCGCGTTATTGCAGAGAACCAGTTTGGCCTGAGTCCTCCCTCCGCACCGACGGAACCCATCACCACAAAGGAGGACAAGTCTGTCATCAGGAACTATGACGAGGAAGTGGACGAGACCAGAGAGATCACCAAAGAGGAGGCTCACTCCTTCAAGCTCAAGGAGCTGTACTCCAAGTACACTATTTGTGAGGAGTTGGCTCGTTGTCAATTTGGACTGGTTTACCGTTGTGTGGAGAATGCAACGAAGAAGACCTTCATGGCCAAGTTCATCAAGGTCAAGGGGACAGACCGTGAGCTGGTTCTTCGGGAAATTGAGGCCTTGAATATCGCGAGGCATGAGAACGTCATCTACCTGCACGAATACTTTGAAAGTATGGAGGAGATTGTCCTCATCTTGGAGTTCATTTCCGGCGTTGATATCTTTGAGCGCCTTGGAACAAGCAGTTTTGAGCTCACGGAGCAGGAGATTGTCCTCTACCTCAGACAGGTCTGCTCCGCTCTCAGGTTGTTGCATAGCAACAACTTTGCCCACTTAGATATCCGCCCGGACAACATTATCTACACCACAAAGAAGAGCAATCTTGTCAAGATCATCGACGTGGGTCAGGCTCGGCTGCTGGTACCAGGCGAAAACATTAGAATGCTTTTCTCGGCACCAGAGTATTGCGCCCCCGAGGTCCACCGCCACGACTTGGTCACAACAGCCACGGACATGTGGTCCGTGGGTGTGCTGGCCTACGTGCTGCTGAGTGGTCTCAACCCGTTTGCTGCAGAATCCGTGACACAAACCATTGAGAACATCACCGCTTGTGAGTACGTCTTTGACAGTGACGCGTTTAGGGACATCAGCATGGAGGCTATGGACTTTGTGGACAGACTTCTTGTCAAGGACAGGAAGCTCCGTATGACTGCCCAAGAGGCATTGGAGCACCCTTGGCTGAAGATGAAGATCGAGCACGTCAGCCGCAAGGTCATTCGGACACTCAGACACAGAAGGTACTACCACTCTGTGGTAAAGAGGACCGATACGATCATCTCGGCAGCGCGCGTTGCCTACGGCGGCGCCTTCAGGAACCAGAGAGGCTTGGCTGTTGGCAAAGTGAAGATCGGTACCGAGTACCACGGTCTACGTGCCGGCCCGGTCATGCACGCCTCTGCTGAGGAAGGTGGCCATGTTCGGTTCACTTGTAGCATTGCCAGCTTTGACCAAAGTACACAGGTGACATGGTACTTTGGTAGCCGCCAGTTACACTCGAGCTCGAAGTACGAGATCGCGTACAACAAGGGATTGGCCAGCATATATGTGAAGGACGTTGAAGAGGGTGACGATGGTGTCTACAGGTGCAAGGTAGTGAGCGATGACGGTGAAGATAGCGCGTATGGTGAACTCTTTGTTGCGACGGTGAGAAGCCTCAGGGAGCACTACGTCAGTCGGTCCATCAAGAAACTGAGAAGGAGGGTCGACAAAACCGAAATCCCGTACAAGCCTCCGGAGTTCACGCTACCACTCTACAATCGCACCGCCTACATTGGCGAAGATGTGCGCTTTGGCGTCACCATTACCGTGCACCCGGATCCTCGCGTTACGTGGTTGAAGAACGGCGAAAGAATCAAACCCGGAGACGATGACACAAAGTACACTTTCCTGAGTGACAAGGGTCTGTACCAGCTGATGATCCACAACCTAGACATGAGCGACGATGCTGAATACTCTGTCATGGCCCACAACAAGTACGGAGAAGACAGCTGCAAGGCCCGTCTCACCGTGACACCACACCCCGTGACAGAGGAAACGATGAGGCCCACATTCAAGCGTCTGCTGACCAATGTTGAATGCGCGGAAGGGAACAGCGTCCGCTTTGATATCAGAGTGTCTGGAATCCCAACTCCTTCCCTAAAATGGGAGAAGGATGGCCATTCTCTCCAGCTGGGTCCAAAGATAGTTGTCATCCAAGAGGATGCTGACCACCACGTCCTGTGCATCAGGGAGACACTGCTCGAGGACTCTGGCGTCTACAAAGTGACTGCAACAAACTGTGCGGGCTCTGTGAGTTGCCAGGCAACCCTGAACGTGGACCGCCTCACGTACACCAGAAGAGAGTACAAGAGTGAGGAGGAGAAACGCCGACACGTACAGAGGCAGATTGAAAATACCAACAGGATGGCTCAGAAGATTGTCGCCACAGAGGAGATCACTCCTCTGAATCCGACAGCCCAAGAGGCTCTGAAATTTGCTGCGGAGATGTACAAGCCTGCCTTCAGCACCAAGAACGTCGAGGGCGAGTATGACATCACAACGGTGAAATCGGAGACCAAGAAACTAGAAGAAGAACGAAGGATCTTCATGCCGTATGAGATTCCCGAACCTGTGGTCCATGACCGCCGAGCTCTGGATGAGAACAAAGCCATTAAGCAATTTGTCGCACTCTCTGACATGAAGTGGTACCGCAAATTGAGAGACCAGCATCTGGTTTCAGAGAGAGCGGAAAGGTTTGTGGCAAAGCGACAAAGACGAATTCGCCTGTCCAGGTGGGAGCAGTTCTACGTCATGCCGCTGCCCAGGATCACCGACCAGTATAGGCCAAGATGGCGAATCCCCAAAATGACTTTCGACGACCTGGAAATTGTCAGACCCGCCCGCCGCTCACCATCCCCTGAATCCGAGATATCGTTCAGATCTAGGAGGCGATCTTTGGGTGATTTGAGTGACGAGGAGCTGCTGATGAGCGCTGATGACTATCTGTCCGCCAGGAGGACCGAGCAGGAGAAGATGATGCTGGAGGATGAACTGGAGCTTGGCTTCTCCGCCTCCCCTGCGGTCAGTCCAGTTCGAATTGAACGGCGTGTGGTGCGGCGTGAAGAGAGGTCTCAGGAGCTACGGCAGGAAGCTCTGGAGGTGGCGGAGACAAAGAAAAAGCGTACCGTTTCCCAGTTCATGAGGAGAAGGCGCTCACTGTCCCCCACGTACATCGAGCTGATGCGTCCGGTCTCCGAGTTGATCCGACCAGCTCGCGTGAGGCCGGCGGCTGAGGTGGAAACTGAGCTCGTAGAGAGGAGATCCCCAACGCCAGAGAGAACTCGCCCCCGGTCTCCGAGCCCCATCAGGTCTCTTGAGAGGTCCTCCCGTTCCTCCTCTCGGTTTGAGCGCTCTGCCCGCTTTGACATCATGTCCCGCTATGAGGCCAGAAAGGCAGCTCTGAAGTCTGAGAGGACCTATCAGGTGGTTAGTCAGTCACCTTTCAGCCTGGATCACGGCCCCCGCGTCACCGTCAGGATGCGCTCTCACCGTGTGCCGCTCGGCCAGGACACCAAATTCACTCTGAACATCCAAGCCAAGCCAGAGGCCGAGGTCAAGTGGTTCCACAACGGATATGAAATCTCTGAAACCAGCAGCAAATACATCTTTAGCAACATGAGCGGAGTTCTGACCATCACCATTCTGGACTGCCAGGAGGAGGACAGCGGCACATACCGCTGCTTCTGCTCCAACGCCAGAGGAGAAGCCTCGGATTACGCCACCCTGGATGTGGCAAGCGGTGACTATACCACTTTCTCATCCCGGCGCAAGGATGAGGAAGTTCCGAAATCACTCGTCCCTGAAATGACTCGAATTGATCACTACGGCTCGTCCCGCTTCAAGACCGGCTACGAATCTCAAAGTCACTTTGAAGTGGCAGAAAGCAAGACTACGTTATCCGAGACACGCGAAGACATCACTCGTGAAAGGTATGGGGCAACTTCTGAGAGGTACTCATCTGCTGAGCGCTACGACTCGTCCATCAAATACGCCTCTACGGAACACTTGTCATCCGCCTCCTCCTTCTCTTCTGATAGGTTTGCTCTTTCTGAAAAACACTCTACAGCTGAAACTAAGTCAAAGTACTCTGCTGCCTCCGAGCAGCTTTCTGCCCAAAAGGTGAAGCAGTCTGTTGCAGCCAGATTCCTCACTAAGCCCCAGTCTGTGACCGTTGCTGAGGGCGAGACAGCCCGGTTCTCCTGCGATATTGACGGAGCGCCTGCGCCCTCTGTGACCTGGGTGCACCAGGGGAAAACCATCGTCTCCACCCACCGTGTCCAAGTCACCACCACACAATACAAGTCCAACCTGGAGGTCTCTTCTGTTACATCCTCTGACGAGGGCAGTTACACAGTCATCGTAGAGAACTTGGCGGGCCGGCAGGAGGCTCATTTCACCTTGACCATCCGCAGGCCTATTCCTAAAGCGGTCAAGGGCATCAAGTCCCCAGAACCGAGTGTGAAGACACCGGAGCCTTCAGTCACATCGCCACCGCCGTCTGTAACTTCCCCCGGTCGCAGTGTGAAGTCACCGGAGCCTTCAGTCACATCGCCACCGCCATCTGTAACTTCCCCTGGTCGCAGTGTGAAGTTTCCGGAACATCGCGTCAAGTTCCCTGAACAAAGTGTGAAGTCACCAGCGCCAAGGGTCAAGTCCCCTGAACCAAGTGTGAAGTCCCCGGAGCCTTCAGTCACATCGCCACCGCCGTCTGTAACTTCCCCTGGTCACAGCGTGAAGTCACCGGAACATCGCATCAAGTCCCCTGAACAAAGTGTGAAGTCACCAGCGCCAAGTGTCAAGTCCCCTGAACCAAGTGTGAAGTCACCGGAGCCTAGCGTCAAGTCCCCTGAACCTGGTGCGAAGGCACCAGCACCAAGTGTCCAGTCCCCGGAACATCGCGTCAAGTCCCCTGAACAAAGTGTGAAGTCACCAGCGCCAAGTGTCAAGTCCCCTGAACCAAGTGTGAAGTCACCGGAGCCTTCAGTCACATCGCCACCACCGTCTGTAACTTCCCCTGGTCCCAGTGCGAAGTCACCGGAACATGTCATCAAGTCCACTGAACAAAGTGTGAAGTTACCAGCACCAAGTGTCAAGTCCCCTGAACCGACTGTGATGTCACCAACACCTAGCGTCAAGTCCCCTGAACCTGGTGCGAAGGCACCAGCACCAAGTGTCCAGTCCCCTGAACCTAGTGTGAAGTCACCAACACCTAGCGTCAAGTCCCCTGAGCCCTCAGTGAAGTCACCAATACCCAGTGTGAAGTCACCAGTGCCAGGTGTCAAGTCACCAACTCCTGCTGGGAAGACACCAGGTATGTCAAGTAAGTCTGGTATCAAATCCCCTGAACCCGAGGGAATGAAGTCTCCCAGGGGTAGAAAATCTCCTGAACCGGGACCTAAGTCACCGCCACTAATGAAGGCGCCAGAAGCTGAGGAACCTAAAGCACCACGAGGCATCAAATCACCTGAGCCTGCAGAAATTAGACCACCTACAGGCATCAAGTCCCCAGAACCTGGCCGCATCAAAACACAGAGAGGCGTCAAGTCTCCAGAACCGTCTGGCATAAAGTCACCAAGGGGGGTGAAGTCCCCCGAGCCAGAGGGAGTCAAATCCCCTACCAGAAGGAAGTCTCCACCTCCCGCGTTGTCCCCCAAGAGGGTCCTGTCGCCGCCAGCTGTCGAGTCTCCAACCCCCGAGCCGCCCAAAGTCTTGAGTCAGCTGGCGGCTGTGGCCTGTGAAGATTCAGTCAAGATGTCTTGTGTTTGCGAGAGCAGCGTCAAGGAGGTGACGTGGTACTGCAACGGGAGACGTCTTGCCAAGAGCAGCCGCTTTCAGATGCAGTACTCCGATGGTTCCTGCAGTCTCTTCATCCACGACCTGGCCGACAGCGACCAGGGCGAGTACACCTGTGAGATGACATCGGAGGGAGGCGTCTCAAAGTCCTCCTTGTCCTTCACCGGACAGGTTTACCAGTCCATTCGCATGAAGATCAACGCTTCCTATGAAAAGCACTTTGCACTTAAAGGTGAGCCACAAGTCTCAAATGTGTCCAATAGGGATGGGTGATCATTTGACTTTCTTACTCACGATGATATTTTCGTGAATGCTGTTTGGTTCACGGTTCTCCAAGCTCTCCACCGTAGTTCCTAGAGCCCCACAAATTCCGACAGATGGCCTCAAAGCACAACTTTATGGTGATATCTCAGGACATTTCAAAGAGAGCATAAAAGAGCTCGGTAGCGAATAACAGACGAGGCACGTAAGCAAATAATTGGCTAGGAAATACTGAAATGTCACTGTCATTCGCTTTTGTTTTTCAGTGATTTACTTTTTTTTTTCATCAAAATCTGATTTTTAAATGTTTTTTTTTTTTTCCCTTGACAAAAATGTCTAAATTCTATTCAAAGGCCAAATTGCCTATGCCTATTCTGGAATCTCTTGTCAGCCACTCTGGATGTTAAGAGGCGCGTTTGTCTTGGTGGACATTCAACAGGCTCCACCAGGTCGAGCTTCAAGGAGTCGTCCTCGTCCAGCTCCTCCGTGGCCGTGAAGAGAGAAACTTGCACCGTGGAATCGTCGTCGTCGTCTTTCTCGTCGTCCTCATCCTCCGCCCAGCGAGCCATGAGGTCCTCCATGATGGAGTCCAGACCCTTTGGCAGCATGATGGGCGAATTGAAGTTTGAGACCTCGTCTATGGCCAGTGCGTCCTCCATGGCTTCCGAGTCGTATGCCGTGAGCTCCAGCAGCATCTCGGAAATGAGCTCGCACCTGACCGGATCCTCCTTCCGGGCCATCGGTAGGACTCGCGCGCTTGTTTGCCATAAAACCCACAAACTTGTTTTGCACAGTGAAGCCCCGGTGGTCATACGGAATGCGTTCCACACCCACCTGCGAAAGCTTAACTCGACACAACTCAAGCGGATTTCTCCAGCGCTTGAAAACAACCGGCGCTGTCTACAAAGTGCTGGACATGGAGCAAAAAGAATTCATGCGACAACCAACAATAAAACAATCAATGAATAACGATGACAGTAAAAAGCACCCAAAAAAAAAAGTCTCATGCTGAGTCAAAAGCCAAAGAATACGAATGAGTTGTAAGACGAGTTTTCGAGATGGGCAGCGAGGACGCTGGCCTGAACGTTCATTCCAAAGAGAGGGAGCGGCGAGGAAAAGGTTCCCGCCCCTCTCAGCCTTCGCTTAGTTCTCGGTATCTCTCAGAGTGCCTGGTCCGCAGACCCGAGGCACCGGGTCTGCGGTTGCGTAGGGGCTCAGACAGCTCAGGTGGGGCGAGGCCTTTTCAAGATTTGAAAACAATCGATCATAGGATCTTCTTTCAAATTTTCTTGAAGATTTGCTCCAGACCAGGTAAAAGTGGCCTCAATGAGAAAGCCTCTTTTTTTTGCTCTCTAAATACAGTGGAGTTCCAAACGGCAGCCGCCGAATGCCACCTCCACATTCAGAAGCGAAAGAAGAGCAAACCGAGCATATTGGAAACGGTTCGTTGGGGATCACTCATGCGGCGTCTTCATAAATCGGACCTTGACTCAGGGCAGAAAGTAGAAGAAGCTATTTTTATCTTGATTCACCACAGTGTTTGGAAGAGAAACTGTGTCATTGTTTTAGTCATAAAATTCTATCTTTGCATCTCTCGAAAAGCTCTTCAGAAAAAAAAAAAAATCAATATGTGAGTAGAAGTGGCAACTATTTTTGTTGGCAACCTCCCTTCACTTTTTTGTTGTCTTGCGGTCCGTGCCGAATGTCATTTGGAGTCTTTGCGGCGGGCCGCTAAATGACGGCCCCTGCGACGTCCCCGGTCGAAAAGCGTGCTTTGGAAGTCATCCGTAGCTTGCTCAAATGTATTGACGCGAGGCGTGTGTGCGTCCGGCCCCCCTTCAGGTTCGGCTCCCAGAATCGAGGCGGTGCCCGAGGACATCAGCATCGAGGTCGGCAAGGTGCTGACGGTGTCCTGCGCCTTCTCGGGGGACGCCGCCCACATGGAGTGGTCCCGCGGCGGCCGAAAGATCCAGCTGTCGCCGGGGGGCCGCTTCCACATCGAGACCGGCGAGGACCTGACCACCCTCATCATCGCCGGCGTGCGGGAAGAAGACGCCGGGACGTACACCCTCAAGCTGTCCAACGAGCTGGGATGCGACACGGCCACCGTTCGCATCAGCGTTCGATCTGTGTGAAATCCAAAAGAAATTAACAAACAAAAAAAAACAAAAAAAAAAAAGAAACAGATGAGCATCAGCAAATGACACTCCAAGCGTTCCCTTTTTCCTCATCTTTTTATTTATGATTGGACTCCACTTGTAAATAGGAACTCTTTTTGTACCAAACGTGACAAACTCCAGTATGGCCACTTGGTGGCGCTACTTTTGCAGTGACATGTACATAATGTATATAGCCGGATGTGACGGTTATGAGGAATGTATGCATCGTGATTTGTCACGATTAATATCAAGCGAAACAAAGAAACCAAAAAAGGCTTTTGACAGGAGAAAGTTCCAGCCGGAACGAATACCCTGTTAAACGCAGAAACTCCAAACCGTGTGCCTCAACGTTACGTTGACGTCTAAGATTGCCTCGGCAGGTAGAGCTTCTCCCTGTCGAAGTTTACTCAACACTAGACTTGGGAGGGGGGGGGAAAAAAAAGTCAACCCCCCTCACCCCACCCAAAAAAAAAACAAAAAAAACAGTCCACACGAGCGCGAGGTCCCGAGCGCTGTTTGCGTCAACCCTCACGTAAGCAGCGCAAACGGCCCTCGCGCCGCGACGGATGATGTCGTACCGCCGTTTTCGACGACACGCTCACAGTGCGAGCGGCCTGCACTCCCTGAGCACGTTTTGGTTTGCTTTTTT